GCGGCACCTCGCGGAGGGCAGACAGGTGGAGGAGCGGCGGCCACCACCTACACCCACACCTGCGCCTACACCGCCGCGGCCCTAAACGAGTGCGCCCCAGCGCGCCGAGGCCGGGACGCGGTGCCCCAGCCTCGACGCCCGAACTCTTCGCTAGCTCCCCGCGCGCTGACGTTTCTTCCAGGTCTATTAAGGCAGTGCCATCTTGTGGTGGCGTCTTGCTTTTGGCCTTATTTTCAGTTCTGGCCTCTTTGTATGTTCCAAACGGAAGTGCTCTTGACTCCAATAGCGGGGTCTTTTGGGTGAGAAAGGTACAACTTAACACCAGTAGCTGGAACACAGTATTAAGCTGTTAGCTCTTCACACTGTGACACACGTGAAAAACGTGGTAAAAGTGGCTTGTTCGTAAGCATCCAGCAATGTGGGGCAGGCGTTTCTGGTCAGTCCCATTATTAAATCATCCTCACTATTCACACCCGCGTCCGTCTCGCATTCCTTGTCTGAGGCCTCTCGGGGCCATTTGTTGGTTCTGCACACCAAACGTACCACAACCTGTGCAGTTTCTGTGGTCCGTTAACCCCAAAGGTAATTTCTTTTCTTTTTTTAAGAATTACAATATTTATCATTTTTAATTTGACCAGGGAGAGACAGAGAGAGGAAAAGTGAGAAAGCAAGCCATCAGGTTTGGGACTTAAACCGCAGTCACCCATGTGGGAGTCAGTACCTTAACCATCAGGCCACCTGCCTGCCCCTCAAAGGTAATTTCTAATGCACAACGGGATGTTTAACAGCTTTCCTAATAGGCTGAATACACTACTTTAGAATAACTCCAAAGGCTACAGGATGTTGGTCCAACACACTAAGAATTATCTGCTGAGTAAAACCCAGAAATGCATAGAATATGGGTTCAAGCACCCTAGAGAACAGACCCAGAACAGATTTCTTGATTCTTAGGAAGCGACAGAAACACTTAAAAAATAAGTTAGGGAAGACAATATATATATATATATATATATATATATATATACACACAGAATAAATACATCCTCATAAAACAATCTGTAGACTATGTTCAGTGAGGTGATCTGATTATCGGAATAAATATACTGATTAAAACTAAATTGAGCTTACTGGTAGCACCCTAGCATGCTAGATGCCTAGTGATTAAGGAGCTGGATCCCGCATGGTCCCCAGGGGTTCTAATCCTGCCAGGTACCTGTGCATACATGCCCCAAATCCTAACAGGATGGAGAAATGGAGAAGGGATTCTGTATGGTAACCATGCCCCACTGGGGAATGTTTTTTCACGTTCTCTGTCTTGCTCTGGAACATGCACAAATAAACTAAGTTTACAAGACAATGATACATATTGAGATGCTTTTGTAGAAGAGGTTAAAAAGCTCTTGATTGGAGCTAGCTTGGAAAAGATGCTAGGCCTACATTTTAGATATGTATTAACTACTAATTGATCACTTTATTTTTTACTTTTTTTGGCTTTTGACTTAGGGGTGCATGCACTCACTGGAGACAGAGAGAGAGAGAGAGAGAGGGAAAGTGAGAAATCACCCCCCAGGAGGGATGGCCATGCCACAATCCCTTCTCCTCCATCCTCCTTTCGGGATTCTGTGATTTTCAAGCTACCGGGTCCAGTACTCGAATAGTGGTTTACCATGTGGAAATTAACCCATATTCAGCACACCACCTACTGTCCCCAGTAATCACTTTTAGATTTGAGGATTTTATTCCCTTTTCCAAAAAGGGAGGCGAGATCATAGAACAAAGCATGGGGCCAGCAGGTAGAGTTGTGGTTAAGGCACTGGACTCCCACAGAGGAGAAGGCATTATGGTGAGGCCATTCCCCCGTGATTGATTTCTCACTCTCCCTCTCTCTCTGGCTCTCTTGTGGCCTATAACAAAACATAACAGAATATCAATAAAGAGATGGACTTTATCAAAAGGAACAGAACAAATTTTAGAAGTGAAATGAAATGAAAAGCTTACTAGAGGATTACGACACGTGTGAACAGGCATAACAAAGAATGAGCAAACTTGAATAGAAGACAATTGGAATTATGCAGGTAAGAGGGACATGGACAGGAAAGAGAAATGAACAGTGCCTAAGGGGTCTGTGGGACACTAGCAGGGAGTCAATATATGCGTACTGAGAGTACTAGAAAGAGAAAGAGGGAAGGGAGGAAACAATATCTGGGGAGGGAAAATGGAGGAAAGGGATTGTGGTATGACCACACTACATGGGGGGGGGGGTGTCTGTGTCTCTCTTTCTCTGGAGAGTACACACACTTTTGGCAAATAAAGAGAAAAATTAAAAAAACAAAACTATAAGAGACAACCACAGGCATATTGAAAAGAAGATAAACTCACCAGGAAGATAGAACTGTTTTTAAGATATATGCACTAAACAACGGAGCCCCCAAAAATATATAAAGCAGAAACTGATAGAAGTGGTAGAAAAACAGATGATTCTACAATAGTAGAGACCAAAAACCTCACTATTTTTAGAACTTTTTGCGTGTGCACTCGCCAGAAAGAGACAGACAGAGAGAAATCACCCCTCCAGGGGAGATAGCTGTGCCACAATCCCTTCTCCTCCATTCTCCTCTCGGGATCTTGGGCACGCACACACACGTGCCCTGCATGAGCTTAAGCCACCAGGTCAGGGACTCGAACCTCAGTCATCTACATAGGAGTCCAGTGACATAGCCATTACGCCAACTGCGAGTCCCAAAACCTCATCTTTAATAATGAATAGAGCATCTAGAATGAGAATCAATAACAAAATAGAGTACTTGTAGAATATTATACAGCAACTAGACTTAATGGACATAAGTAGAATTCCACTCAACAGAATACACATTTTTCTTATGTGCAAATGGAATATTCTCCAGGACAGACATTAACAAGTCTCAATAGATTTGAAATATTGAAATGATACAAAATATTTTCTCTGACCACAGTGGAATTAAACTAGAAATCAGTAACACAAGGAGAACTAAGATGTTCACAAATATGTGGAAATTAAGCAACACTGTTAGAAAACCAACTGGGGGCCAGCTGGTGGTGTGATGTGATGGTTAAGGCTTCTGGATCTCACATGGGTGACTGCATTGGTTCAAGTCCTAGACCCAGTGGCTTGAAAAAAATGGTTTGGTATGTGTGCGTGAGTGCCCCAAATCCTGAAAGAATGGAGAAGGGATTGTGACATAGCCATTCCCCCTGGGGTGTAATTTTTCACTTTTCCTCTGTGTGTGTGTGTGTGTCTCTCAGAACCTTATAGTAAACAAACAAAAAAGAATTTCTCCATGGATGATGATACATAGATCACATTCAGAAGCAACTTCTTTGACCCAAGTAGACCCAAGTAGTGAAACCAGAAAGCCATTCAGTCATGGCAGCCACTCTTACATGTGCAAATAGCAACACAAAATGACCAGTTCCGTTTTCCTGATGGGTAATAATTTGAAGACTTGAATAGTTCAGCTATAGTATTGGCAACAAAGATGAACGTAATCTATCCTCATGCGCATCCTTCTGAAAATGTTACACAAAAAATGAGCACCGTTGCCTTGTCGACATCAGTAGACTCTTCAGCCTGGTTTTCATACTAGGGTGACTCAGTAATCCTCTCTGACAACTGTGCCTCAATATTCTTTGCTGTTTCATCAGTTTGTCTAGATATGGGCTAGCTGAAAAGGAAACTGATGCCACCTTCTGAACTGCAGCCTCTTCTAAAAGTTCACAACAAAAGTCCTTAGCGGCAGGCAGGAAATGGGA